TACTTTTATTTTTAATGGTGTATACACATATGGGTGTGCGTGCGTGCGTGCGTGCGTGCGTGCGTGTATGCATGAGTGCAGTTGCCCACAAAGGCGGGAAGAGGCCATTAGACCCTTTGGAACTGGAGTTACAAGCATTTGTAAGCTGTGTGTCATGAGTGATGGATGCCAAATTTGGGTGTTTGGAAAAACAGCAAATGCTCTGAACGGTTGAGCCATTTGTCCAGCTCCGTATTTCCTTAAGCTTCTTGTTTTAAAGTGATTTTGGATGGACAGACACGTTGCAGAAGTGGTACTGGAGGCGCCTGTGTGCTGTTCATGGGTATCCATCACACATTGTGTTTGGCCCATGTGTCTCTCACGCGCTCACCCAGCTAACACTGTGTCCATATCTCCTGAGCGGTCCCCTGCTGTGGAATGCCAGTCTTCTAGCAAGGAATGGTGGTGCATGCCTCTGATCCCAACACTTGGGGTCTCAATCAGGAGGGTCCAGGTCCCAACTAGTCTGTGATAGATAGTAAATTTTAGCCAGCCTGAGCTACATAAGACAGTGTCTCAAAAAAGGGAGGCTGGTTGGGGCTGGTGATATGGCTCAAGGGTTAAGAGTGGTATCTACTCTTTCAGAGGACCCCGGTTCAATTCCCAGTGGTGACATGGCAGCCCATAACCATTTGTTAGCCCAATCCTAGGGGATCCTTGCCCTCTTTTGACTTCCACATGCACACACATGGTGCACAGATATACATACATGCAGGCAAATACCCATATACTTAAACTCAAGAAGCATCTCTTTTAGAAGGTGACGTAGAATGGTGTCAGTGATAGCATGCTGTCTCTCACTGGGGGCACCTACCTAGAGAGTACAGGGTCCTGCGTTCCATCCTCAGTATGGACTATATTAATAGTATCGTCATCTCAGAGCTTAATGTGATCAGCTAGAGGTTTTTGGCTTTTTGCCATGTTCCAGATGAGACCGGGGCACCAGGAAGAGGTGGGTGCCTGGGGCCCTATGTCACTTTCACGGCCATGACAAACTGCAGCTTAGGTCCTTCCTTGCCTGCTGTGTGGCTGCTTCATGCAGTGGCTTGCTAGAGGCAGGGTCCCCTGGCTCCCTGACACAGGTCCAGCTGCAGTCTAGAAAGCCAGCCTTTTCCCTTCTTCCCTTCTCAGAGCCCAACTTGGGAGAAGATGATGAGGACAAAGACTTGGAACCTGGCCCATCAGGGACTTCAAAGGCCTCAGCCCAGATCTCAGGCCAGTCAGACACGGACATCACTGCTGAGTTCTTGCAGCCTCTGCTAACACCTGACAATGTGGCCAATCTGGTGAGGAGGGTTAGGTTGTCCCTTGGATAGGCCTTTCTTCTCACCCCTCCTCCTTCGAGAAGCCATTTATCCTCATTATCCCATTCCCTGTCTACTCACTCTGTTCTGGGGGGTGGGAGACTCCCAGGTGGACAGCCCGGTGGTCATTGTTTTCCCAGAGAGCTAAGACAAGGAGTGCAGGCCCAGCCCAGCCTTAGTTCCTGCTGCTCCTTCCATGCTGCTCTAGACTGAACTGGCTAAGGCTTCCCCTCCCCGGGCCTCCTGCAGGTCCTCATCAGCATGGTGTACCTACCTGAGACCATGCCTGCCTCCTTCCAAGCCATCTACACCCCGGTGGAGTCTGCAGGCACCGAAGCCCAGATCAAGCACCTGGCTCGGCTCATGGCCACACAGATGACAGCTGCAGGACTGGGACCTGGTGAGTCTTGTGCTGACCCAGGCCAGGCCTTGGCACTGGACTCTCTTTCTGGAAAAGCTGTGGAGATGAAGGTCATGCGCCATCTAAGGTGTTCCACCATTATGCAGAATGCTCAATGTCTTCAGGTCCTGGGCTTTGAAATCTAACAGACTTCACCTTGAGGTCCAGACTGAACCATACTGACTGTGTCAGGTTACTGAGACTCTGAACTTTGGAGTCTTTCCCTTATTTCGCCTGTGCATTTTTTTGTTTTTTTGTGTGTGCCCTCAGGCTAGGAGAGGGCGTCAGATCTCTTGGTGATGGAGGAATCACAAGAGTTGTGGGTGTTAAGAGCAAAGCTGAGGTCCTGTGCGAGAACAGCAAGTGCTCTTCACGCCTAAGGCATCTCTGCAGGGCAGGCTTTTGTCTTCTTTGAGACCAGGTCTTGTTGTGCAACCCATGCTGGCTTCTAATTTGCACCAATCTTCTGCCTAGTCTCCTGAGTGCTGGAATTATGGGTGTGAGCCATGCTTGGCACCAGCTTGTTCTTTGAAGTATAAATTATGAACATTGACACAAATACAACTCCAGTGTCGGTGTGGCCATGAGCATCACAAGGAATGGCTTTTTCCAACTCATGTGGGTTCCAAAGACTGGACTCAGTTCCCCTTTTCCCTCTAAGCCATTGCACCAACCCTTGTTTCAGACCTTCTTGTCGTGAGCATAACAGTGGCTTACGGGTCTTTTTTTTTTTTTTTTTTAAGATTTTATTTTATTAAGTATACAGACAATCTTCGACCTGCCTGTGCCCTGCAGGTCAGAATGAGGTATCATTACAGATGGTTGTGAGCCACCATGTGGTTGCCAGGAATTGAACTCAGGACCTCTGGAAGAGCAGTCAGTGCTCTTAACTTCTGAGCCATCTCTCCAGCCCTGGCTTACGAGTCTTTGGTATGCTCAGGTTTTCACCTGACTGCTCCAAGAGATGGTGTTGTCAAGTCATGTGGCCCCTGCTTTTAAAGCCTGTTTATCTTGAGGATGCCTGAGTGTTACACACCTGTCACCCCAAGAAGTGGGGGCGGGGGGGGGGTGTGTGGGGGGGGAGCATGGTTTCTCCTTTGATGCATAGTGAGTTTGAGGACAGCCTGGGGTGCGTGAGACTCAAACCCCAAACGGGCTGGTATGACAGCTCAGTGAGTAAAGGTATTTGCTGCCAACCCCAGAACCCAGGAATCAGAAACCCCCACCATGCACCCTGGCATATGGATGTATATCCCCATGCAGATTAAGATATTTTACAAAAAGAAGCTGGGGCAATGGCTCAGTGGGTATGTGCTTGCTGTGTAAGCATGAGGACTTGGTTCCGATCACGGACATCCACAGAAAAGCCGAGGTGGTGTGCACCTGTAACCCCAGCATTGGATGAGGGCAGATACAGGTGGGTCCTAGGGATCTTCCTGGCCAGCTCTGGGTTCCTTGGGTGACCCTGTTTTAAAACAAAGTGTGGCTGGTTTGATGGCTCAGCTGGCAAAGGTGCCTACTGCCACACACGATGACCTGAGTTTAATCTTTGGAACTCATTGAGAGAACCAGGTCCACAAAATTGTCCTCTAATCTCCATATATACATACACACGGACAATACATAAATAAAATGCAATGATTTAAAAAAAAAAAAGGCTAGCTGGCTGGTGGTGGCTCATGCCTTTAATCCCAGCACTTGGGAGTCAGAGGCAGGTGGATCTCTGTTAGTTCGAGGCCAGCCTGGTCTGCAGAGATAGTTTTAGGACAGCCAGAGCTACACACAAAGAACCCCTGTTTTGAAAAACCAAAACACACACACACACACACAGATAAAGGGAGTTACAAATCCACCTCTGACTTGCACGTGCACACACACACACACACACATACACACACACAAACACACACACACACACACACAGAGATAAAGGGAGTTACAAATCCACCTCTGACTTGCACGTGCACACACAGTCTAGCACACTAACACATGTCACACACTCATGCACATCTCACACAGACTTCAACCTAAGAGAGCTTGCTTGGGACACTCCTCGGCAGTGCCTCCAGAAATGAAGCCTTCTAGCTGGATCCTTGGGTCGTGTTGCTAGGTGGGCTCCACGGTGGGCGCAGTGCATGCATGGCAGAGCCTGGGGTGCAGGAGATGAAGCAGAGGGTGCTATGGCTGCCTCCGTTCAGGTGTGGAGCAGACAAAACAGTGCAAGGAAGAGCCCAAGGAGGAGAAGGTGGTGAAGCCCGAGAGTGTCCTGATCAAGCGGCGCCTGTCAGCGCAGGGTCAGGCCATCTCTGTGGTGGGCTCTCTGAGCGCCATGTCCCCCTTGGAGGAGGAAGTACCCCAGGCCAAGAGGAGGCCCGAACCTATCATCCCTGTCACACAGCCACGGTGAGTCCTCTTCTAGTCGGGACATGGGTTCTGTGAGCGTGCCCTGTTTGCAGGTGTGAGTGGAAGGTTCTCCTCTACTTCAGAGTCAGTGCAGGAACCTCCAAGCTCTTGTGGGTTTCTGCAGCCACGTGTCCTTTTTCTGTCTTACCCTGGGAGAATGGTGGTGGCTTTCTCACTCACAGATGGAGTCACTAGGTTAGAGAACACGTGGTGCCTGCTGCAAGGCATGGTGACAGTGAGGCAGTTAATAGGGTTTCTAGTGTGCAACACGGGCTCCCGGTCATCATCACCATCCTCATTCTTCTCACCACCTTTATCCCAAAGTCAGGCTCAGCCACACCGAGCACTGTCGCAGCCTCTTGCTCCCCTCCCCGTTCCATCTTCCCCTACCCACAGCAAGCCCCAACCAGGGTCTTTGTGCTCACTCTTGTCCATCTGAGCCCCTCTGGTCCCTGCCTGCGCTCATGGAGACGCCCTCCTTGGCAGAAAGAGACCATTTCTTCCTCACCCTGTCTTCGTGCTGTGCTGAGCCTCATTCGGAATTCATAGCTAGAGAGGGGCCGTGCGTGTGTCTGTTGTGGCTGTGTGCCACCAGACAGACTGGGCTACAGAAAGCGTGCCAAGTCCTTGTCCTTGTCCCTGCCCTCACGTAGGCTGGC